GAGAAATCCTGTACCTATTAGCTATAGCTCCCCATTATCCTCTGCACCCAGCAACCCCTAAACTCCTTTCTGTCTTTATGGATTATCTGATTCTGGACGTTTTATAGAAACAGAATCACACTTCATCACAGACTTTGGTCTCTGGCTTCTTTAACTTAGCCAGATAATGTTCTCAAGGTTCACCCATGTAGCACATGTCAGTGCTTCATTCCTTTTTATGGCTAAATAATATTCCACTGTATGGATATGCCACTATTTGTTTATCCATTCAATAATTGGTTGTGTCCACCTTTTGGCTATGATGAATAATGCCACTGTCAGCATTCACGTACAGATTTTTGTGTGGATATATTTTCATTTCTCTTGGGTATATACCTCTGAGTAGAATTGCCACATTACATGGAAAATTTATATTTAACGTTTTGAGAACTGCAAACTATTTTCCAAAGTGGCAGCACTGTTTTACCTTCCCACCAGTCATGTATAAAGACTGAAATTTCTCCATTTTATTTTATCCATCTATTTAGTGTAAAGTGGTATCTCACTGGGGTTTAGATTTACATTTCCCTAATGATATTGAGGATATTTTCATATTCTACTGGCTTTTGTATATCTTCTTTAGAGAATCTCAATTTTTAAATTGGCTAATTAAAAAAATTGTTTAGTTGTACATATAACTCTTTATATATTCTATATACAACTGCCTTATAAAATATATGATTTCAAGTATTTTTTCATACTCTGAGGGCTGGCTGTCTTTTCCTTTTCTTGATGATGTCCTTTGAGGTGTACATTTATAATTTTTGGCGAGTTCCAATTTTGGTGTCATCCTAGGAAACCATCGTCTAACCCAAGGTCACAGAGATTTAATGTTTTCTTTGAAGAGCTTTATCGTTCTAGCCCTTACATTTATATCTATGATCTTTGTTTTTTTAGTGTCCCTTTCTTTTCTTTTTTAAAATTTTTGATGTGATATAGAGGTTCGAATCCATTATTTTGCTTGTGAATATCCATTTGTAAAGGTAGTTCCTTCTTCATTGCATTATCTTGGCACCCTTCTCTAAGGTTATATCTTTATTATAGAATTTACCAAATTTTGTGGTAAACTGGATAATCTTCCTCCATCACTGGAGGATTGGATACATATTTGTTCACTTAAAATGAGAAAACCTATGTGAAAAGCACCCACCATAGGACCCCCTCTCCCCCTTCCCCGAAAATGCTTTGTTTCTTCTTTTAAACCTGTCCTGCCCCTCCTTACAGGATTCCAGGAAGAGGGAAAGTTAAAACAAGGCCAAACGATGAGGGCCATCTACAGCCAGCATGTAACTAATATTATCTTCCCCAGCCAAGGACACCTAAGAGCAAACGGTTAAAAACCTCCCTAATGAGAATGCAGTGAGGGAGTGGGAAAGGGGAAAGGGGAAAAGGGCAGATTTCTCCCTAAAGCAGAGAAGCCAGCAGTCCCAAGGTTTAGCAAGATAAAGTTGCCAGGAGCTTCTCATGAATTCTGGGGACGCCACAACAAAGGAAAAATGGTCACCTTGAGAATGAATCTGTACCAAAATATTCAGCAAAGGAATTTTGAAACTTATAGACCCCCCCCCCCCCCCGACCCTACCCAACTAGCTCTTCAGATTCGCTGAGAACCTGTCTGCACTTCATAAGCCAGATGTATAGGGTGTTTGCTTGCTTTGCTTTTTCAATAATGGTGCATGCTTTAATAAATTGGCTTTTCACAGCACAAGCAAGGTCTCTCTTATAAATTAATTTATATAAGAAGAAAAGGATTAAGGTTGGGAACAGTCTCCCCTCCCCCCCCCCCCCCCCACTGACTCAGGGGGCTGTTTGGTAATGGCAACACTTCTCTGGTGTGGTGAGAGGTGCCTCTAGCACCCCCACAGCACTTACTGTGGTATTTGTCACACAATGTGTGTGCTGAATGTCCAGTGGGCTTGAGCATGCACCCCAAAATAACGGTGTGGGTCCCTAAAGCTCTGATTGTCTGGGAGAATCAGAACACTTGAACCCTTTTCAAGCTAAGAATCTGAAAAATAGAAGAGACTGACCCCCAACATCTTTGTGATGCTCTGCTGCTGTAGGGGCCTACCAATGATTTGTTATCCTTGAAGGTTAACAAATATGCTTTCACTTAATAGTGAACCCAAACACTTAAAATAACCCTAAAGGTCTAGAACCCTTTTTTCTCCCCCTATATCTTAATTTCAAGTTCCCCAGATGTCTACTCATTTAACTGCTTATCAGTTAATAAAGTTTTCACTGTGGATTTGACCTCAATTCCACAAAATCGATGGTGGCTCTTATCTGCCTAAAAACAGAAAGATTTTTCTCAGGCCTCTACCACCATTATTGCAAAAGGCAAATGTTAATGGGAAGAAAAAAAACACACACACCAAAAAAACACATTGAAACCTGTAAAGAATTTTTGTGAGTTTATTTGAGCCAAACTGCCAAAGTAGGCTGGGAAGCAGAACCTCATTGCTCTGAAGAATGGCAGGTTACATTTCTATTTATACACTGAAATCAAAGGAGGGACATAGGTGGGTTACGTGAAATTCACTGGTGATAGATTAAGGAGGCGGGAGAAAGCAAAGTGGTGGGAAACCCCTGGGATTGGATAAAAAGTAAAATGATAGACGGGTACTCAGGTGAGTGTAGGAACAATTAACAGATAACGAAAAAATTTGAGCCAGGGGCTCAAGAAAAAGGGAAGTTACAAGTTACCCAGACATCTCATAGATATGTTATCTTAGAGGCAAAAAGGCAAATGGGCTCAGTAAAGAAGATCGAAGTTGATCTTTGTCTGGGAAAATATCGGCCTAGGACTTGACTACCCACTATAACCTGTTTGTAGTTAAAATATTTAATTTTCAAACCATCTTTTGTGGTTATTTTAGGTCTCTGAGTTTGCAAGACTGCCACGCAGGCTCCCCGGAGCTTGTCAGGTTAGCGTGTGGCTCCTTTCATTCACACAAAGAAACCCCACTCAGGTATGGCAGGCAATTCTATTTTCAGTGATCCCTCTTTCTCCTCTCCTGTTCTCTCTTACATGTTGAACATTGGTAACTCTCACAGTCTCTCAGAAATAGAACAAGAGGCTGAAAATAGAGGCCTGTTCTGCTCCTGGCGTTGTTCCTATGGGTTCATGTCCAGACAGTGTTCCTGCTTGCTGCTTGGTTATCTTTCTCTGAGATTCCAGAATCTGCCTCTCTGTGTGGGTGCAAGTGCTGAACCTAAGATGTGTGTTATTGAGAACAGGTACACAACAGCTTTCTCGCAATGTTCTTCAGCATGGGAAAGCTTCCACAGGGGCAGATCTCACAGCTGCGTCCTTCAAATTCTAGCTTCTAACTCCAGAAGCCAGTGCTCCTGCCACTTCTCCAAATGGCCTTTCTGCAAATAATCAGGTTCAGGGTCCTCAAGTACATTTTTTTTTCTAAATATATTTTATTGATGTTTTTACAGAGAGGAAGGGAGAGGGATAGGAATTAGAAAAATCGATCAGCTGCCTCCTGTACACTCCCCACTGGGGATGTGCCCGCAACAAAGGTCCTTGACCAGAATTGAACCTGGGACCCTTCAGACCGCAGGTCGACGCTCTATATCCACTGAGCCAAATTGGTTAGGGCTGAAGTACATTTTTAAAAATATATTTTATTGATTTTTTACAGAGAAGAAGGGAGAGGGAGAGTTAGAAACATCGATGAGAGAGAAGCATCAATCAGCTGCCTCTTGCACACCTCCTACTGGATGTGCCCGGAACCAATGTACATGCCCTTGACCAGAATAGAACTCAGGACCTTTCAGTCCGCAGACCAACGCTCTATCCACTGAGCCAACCCGGTTTCAGCTGAAGTACATTTTCTTATTGGGATTGGAACCATTTTTTAAAAATACATTTTTAAATTTAAAATATTTGAAATATAGACTTTACATTCTAGAAGTTTTAGGAACTGAGCAGAAGACTGAGATTTCCCATATAACCCCTGCCCCACACATGCACAGTCTCACCCATGATCCACATTTCCCCACACAGTGGTCCATTCTACAATCGAGGAACCTATCTCAACACCCAAAGTCTTCAGTTAACATTGGGGTTCACTCTTGACCTTGCACATTCTATGGGTTTGAACGAACATCTGCACCCACCATTATGCTATCCTACAGAGTAGGCTCCCTGCCCTAAAAAATCCTCTGTGCTCTGGCGAGGCTCAATTTTTTAAAGGGCGAAAAAGAGTGGGAAAGAAAAAAAAAAAAATTACGCCGTCTCAACCAAACTCTCAAGCTAAGTTTGTTCCCACTGCTCAGCTGCTCCCAGCTGTCCCATCTCTCCTAGTCCCGCTAGGGGCAGGTTCCTCCTCCTCCTCCCCCTCCTCCTCCTCCTCCTCCTCCTCCTCCCCCTCCTCCTCCCCCTCCTCTTCCTCCTCCTCCTCCTCCTTTTGTGTAAGTGTCAAGCAAATGGGTTTCCTGTTGACACCGGAATACTGTGAAAGGTCAGGAAGAGGCCAGGCCACCTCCCCCATACCCCCCCTGTTTATGGATTCTGCACGCGTTTGTTTGGGTCCAGCGAGCAGGTGGTTCCCAGCGTGTGCGCGGCTTGTGGGGCGTCCTCCGTGGCGGGTAACCCCTCCCCGAGGAGGCGAGGCCCAGCCGGAGCCCGCCCCGGTCCCGGCTCCAAGTCCGAGGGGCGGAGAAGGGGAAGAGGAAGGGGGAAGAGAGTGGGAGAGCAGCGAAAGCTGGGAGACAGAGGCCGGGCGCGCTGCTAGGAGGAGGCGGGGAGCCGGGGGACCAGGGTCGCGGCGCGGGTGCCCCGCCAGCTGCCCCGCCGGCTGCAGGTGGAGCCCGCAGTAGCGCCAGCCGATCCCGCAGCCCCAGGCGCTGCCACTGCTTCCCCGGGGCCTCCTTCCAGGCCCCGAGGGAGCTGGCGAGGGGGCCCTCGGTGCTCGTCCCGCAGCTGCGCCCGGCGCCCCGCCTCGCCCATGGCTGAGGGCCGGCGGTGGGAGGACGAGGACGAAGAGCTGGGGCGCCGCGCCCGGGGCCGGGCGCTCTCGGGCCACCCGGCTGCAGGTGAGAGGCGGGAGGAGCGCGCCCGAGGCGGGGGGCGAGGGGCTGGGGAAGGGGCGCGATCGGGGGAGAGCAGGGCCGAGGGCTGGGCACCCTGGGGCCGCTCAGGTCCTGCCCTGGAAGGCAGTAGCGGCTCCCCCCCCAGCGCACCCGCCTGGATGGGACCCGCACTCTTGGAGATGAGAGGAGGGAGAATGGCTTTTCCATCCTCATCCTCACTTTCGGGGCGGAGCCCGAGGAAATCCACACAGGTCTCTCTCTCTTTCTCTCTCTCTACCTGCCAGGGTTTGGGAGCCCAAACTACAAATTTTTCCATGCGCACGCGAAATCCTGGGGCTGGTGGCCCAGGGGATGAGTTCTCTCCGGGTGAGTCAGAGACCCGGTTCTGCCTGGGCTGCCGCCACCAGGTCGAACCGCGCGCGCTGGGTGTCTCGTCTGGTTTCGATGTCTCTGAACTTCGGACCGGGACTCCCCTCCCTGCCCCCACTGCCTGCGGAGCGCGCCGGTTTCCTGCGGGGCTTGCCTTAGAGTTGTGTTATGTTGTGAATGCTGCAGGATGTGGCATTCCAAAAGGCGGTCCAATTTGGACTGAGAATCATTCCTGGGCCTGAAATTACTTTTAAAAAATATATTTTATTGATTTTTCACAGAGAGGAAGAGAGAGGGATAGAGAGTTAGAAACATCGATGAGAGAGAATCATCGACCAGCCGCCTCCTGCACACCCCCCACTGGGGATGTGCCCGCAACCAAGGTACATGCCTTTGACCGGACCGGGGACCTTTCAGTCCGCAAGCCGACGCTCTATCCACTGAGCCAAACCGGTGCCGGCTGAAATTACTTTTTATTTATTTTTTTTTTTTGGGGGGGGGGGGAGTGCACAAAGGCGGCACGGATCCATAGTTTGGCTGAAATTACTTTTTATTATTTATTTATTTATTTATTTATTTATTTGTTTATTTATTTATTTATTTTTTGGGGGGGAGTGCACAAAGGCGGCACGGATCCATAGTTTGGCGCAGAAGTGTAAGAGTACAGATCCACACCCCTTCTCTCTGCCCCCAGGCAGCTTTTCAGTCAGACATAAGAGAGAGGAAATTCTTTGGCGTTTGGTTCCTACTGGATAAGCCAGTTATCTAAAAAGAGAGAACAGACCTAGGGGAATTGACTACAAAGGGGAGGTGCGAGAAAGGTGGAGAGGAGAAAGCCTCTTTCTCAAGTCGTGGAGAAATCTAAGAGAAGTTATCCGTCTGTAGGGGAACGGAAACGGACGGGAGGTGGAGAATAGGATGAAAAGAAAGAATTTGAGTGTAGTATGAGGAAATGGTCAACTTCATACCCTTGGAAACTTAAAAATAATTCCGTAGGCCCATTACTAGGACTTTTTTTTTTTTTAATCAAAATAACCTATCAGACACTATCCGTTTGGAAAATGATAGTTTTGTTCAGTATAAATCCAGACCTCATGAAATAATGGAAGATAAGTAAATATTTTTTTATGCAGGAATACCATTTAGATATTTACAAAGTTGTACTTCCATCAGACCGTGTAGGCTACCGTGGAGTCCTATTGAGCAGAAAGCTTCCCTCTCTCCAGGGTGGGGCTGTGCTGCGAAGAGTGGTCTGTGTTGGAGGTCAGACTCCTATGATCCAGGTGTAGGCTTATCATTCAGTTGCAATATGTGTATTTATTCCAAGGCTAGTGGAAGTGGTGTTTTTGTAACTTGTTTTTGACCAGTTCCTTCATTTCCCAAGGCTGAGGGAGGCCTTTCTAAGTTCTGTGAAAGTATTTTGCTGAGACATGATATGGTATATACTTTTTCACTCAGAAATCGGTGTTTGTAGTTTCTCACCATTTAACATGCCCTGTCTCCATTAAAGGGGGAGGGGAGGAGAGAATAAGGAGTGGGGAGAAGGTTCAGCTTGCAATAACCGGTTTGGGATATGTTATTTAATAGATTACATTTCCTGACAAGCTGTGCTCCTCCATCCCCTCACTAGTTACTATGTTTTTCAGGCACCATCGCATTCCTTACCAAGCTTGGGCATTTGTTCCCTATGTCTGTGCTACAAGTTCTCTAAGTGAGAGGATGAACTGACCCGGAGGCCTGCACTTTTTCTATTCTCATCACTCCCTTCTTCCCCCCACCACTTTACAATCTAAAGATTATTTTCTTGGATGATCTCATGTAGCTTGACACCATAAATTTGGTGTTTAGGGGCCTGAAGCAGTCTGAACTCCTCTCCCTGCTAGCGTTTGGTGTGGTGGTGGGAAGTGTATTTGTTTATTTATTTTTTTTGCAATGTACATTCAGAATAGCATATAAAACTTACAAATTGCAAAAGGTAGGGATACCTCAGATATTGCAGGTTTGGTTCTACCACCGCAATAAAGAGAGTTGTAGCTATTTGCTGGTGGAGGGTCTTCCCTTCCCTTGAATGCAACACCTGTGAAGCACAGTAAAGTAAATGAAACTCAGTAAAACAGTGTGCCTGTCAAACCTGTAACCTGTGCTCAAGTCCAGAAGGAATATTGTCAGTAATCTAGAAGCAGACTCTGATCCCTGTCCCTCCACTTTTTTGACTGTTGTGATAATTATTCCCTTGTTCTTCTGTATAGTTTTACCTTGTATGCATATGCACAACATATGCGCCCCTATACAATATTATTTCATTTTATCCATTTTATAAGTTCATGAGTGGAATATTCCTGTACCTATTCTTTAGTGTCATGCTTTTTTTTTCACTCAAAATTATGTATGTAAAATTACCCATATTGTTAAATGCAGTTGTAGTTCATTTTCGTTGTATATGTACAGTATCACACTTTGGCCTGTCATGTTTTATTGATTTGTTGAAATTCTTTACACAGGAATCTCACCTTTTATTATTATTATTATTATTATTATTATTGCATGTATTGTACTACTAAATATCTTCCACTCTGTGGCTTATTCCTGAAATTTTCTTTAGGGTCTCTTTTGATGTAGAAATCCTTAATTTTAATGTAGGTATATTTATGAATCTTTTTCTTTAGAGTGTCCCTCTTCTCCTCACTCTCCCTTTGTAATGCTTTCCCTACCCCTGGGTCATGAAGATATTCTCCTGTATCAGTGGTCAGCAAACTCATTAGTCAACAGAGCCAAATATCAACAGTACAACGATTGGAATTTCTTTTGAGAGCCTAATTTCTTAAACTTAAAACTATATAGGTAGGTACATTGCTATTAACTGAAGTAGGGTACTCCTAAGCTGGCATTTGCTAAAAACTCAAGGGGCCAAAGTGCCACATGTGGCTCGTGAGCCGCTGTTTGCCAACCACTGTCCTACATCTCTTGTATGTCTCCTACAAGTTTTGTACCTATCTTTGGAGAGAGGTGATGTAGCTTTCACCAGATTGGCAACCGGATGAGAACCTCTGACTGATCTACAGGGCAGGGAATATAAAATTCTAGATCCTCTCCTAATCACCTGGAAAGAGTGGTAGGCATTTAATAGAGTTTAATGAAAACTAAATACATTTAATCTTTCTATATGTTGATTTCTTCATGGCAAACTCTGGAAGGACTGATGTAACCTCCCTGATGTGTCCTAAGTAAAATAACTAATATTGTTAGTATAAGGGCACAGAATAAAATCTGTTGTGTTTACCATGCACCACGTGCTTCTTCCATGTTGTAACGTGCTAGGTAGGTATTATTTTCTCCATTTTATAATTAAAAAGACCGAGGCTCAGAAATAGGTTTAAGCAACAACCCAAGGTCCCTCAGCTAGTAAATGGCAGAATGAGAACTTGAATTCAGGTCTTTCCAACCTAAAAGTTCATGTTTTCCAAACTATCCTGCTGGGTGTTAATAATAGTCCATTGATATTAATGCCTCACACGTTTACACATGCCTGTTCCTTGTTCTATATTTAGAAATACTTTGCATAAGTGTGTTTTTTCCTGCTTACAAAGGGCTTTCATAGCCTCATTTAACTTGATTCTTAAAGACACTGAGAGGAAAGAGGACACATTTTATTACTCATTCCCGTGTTTAAAGATGAGTAAATTGAGACTCAGAAATGTTGAATACTTAATCTAAAATACCACACTTAGGTGTAACTGCACCTAGGTTACCTCTATGGTGAGTTTCAAGTCATAAACTATAGTTTCTTTGAGTTGATTTATATAACATGTGGCTCAGAGAATTTGTGGCTCTAATAGGTTAGTTTTGAAAACTGCATTAATCCTTCTGGGTCATCATCTTACTATTTTTGCTGTTAGAATTACAAAGTTGTCTAATTTATTTTGAAAACATTATTATAAGTACCATAGAAATTATAGATATACTAGAGGCCTGGTGCATGAATTTGTGCATGGGTGAGGTCCGACCGCCTGCCCCGATGGGGGTCAATCAGAGCCAGGCTGGCCAAGGGAGGAGGGGTGGAATAGGCCCTGGGAGGTTAGCCACTGGCCCTGCCCCCAATCGTGGTGAGGGGGCCATTGGAGCAGGGCCAGCCAGGGGAAGGGGCCTCAGGAGTTGGCCATTGCAGTGCTTGTCATCATGATTGGTTGTTCTGGTGGTTCTGATTGCTTGGCGCTTTTATACACACACACACACACACACACACACACACACACACACACATACACACACCCTGCATTTTCCGGCGTATAAGACGACTTTTGAAACGGAAAAAAAGTCAACCGAAAATCCGGGGCAAAAGACCAAAATTGCACGAAAATTACCTGCAGATCTTGACGGCAAAGTAAGTCTTTTCTTTGAAGTGGGGGGTAGTCTTATACAGCGAATATAGGCTAAACCTATGTTTTAACTGTAAAATTAGGGGGTCGTCTTATACGCTGGAAAATATTGGGGTGGGTGTGTGTGTGTGTGTGTGTGTATATATATATATATATATATATATATATATATATATATATACACACACATTGTTTTATACATTAAAAATCCTGCACTCACTGAGTTCTTTTATCCCTATCAATATATGCAAAATGGTG